CACTCTTAAATCCTACTACTTATTCCTGCGTCTTTTGTGATCTTACAAAGCTTCAAACGACGCGTCGACTATTAAATCAGTCGTCGACGATTTTGACAGTCGATGTAATCGTGACTAGTCGACTAATCGTGGCAGCCCATCATGAAATGTGACACCAGGCCAGAAAAATACACGACAGAGAGCAGGTCGCTGTGCCTGCAGTGATGCAGTGATGTAATTCAGCCAAAGAAAGAGCAGAAACAAGTCTGTAAGTCACTGATATCACTCAATGTTTTTACTTTAAGTTCAGTTTCAAGGTAAGAGCAAGAAGAGTCTTTCTCCTTTTGAGCCGTCCAGTTATTTACGTCACTTATCTGCAGATATGAACATAAATCCCTTCTGTTGAGTCTTTCTGTAGGTTTGCTTCACTGCCAGATGTAAGCTCAGGAATAGCTCTGTATAGAGAAAAGCTTCAGCATTTCCACCAAGATCAGTATCTTGACTGACACTGTGGAACATAAACACAATAGCGGTATAGCTCCAGAAAAACAGGAAGCATCAGATTCCCATAGTTGAATCAATTTATAAATGTGGGAAACCTATGGTTAAAAAAGCAGCATTGTTTAGTGAACATGAACATATAGGATACTTTTTTTATTAGCAATCTTCTCAGAAATGCGGGTCCAAAATAAAGCCGTGTTTTAAAAGCTTCTAGGAACCGTGCTAAGCAGCTGCCAACAAGCAGATTAGGTTTTCTCAGGGGGAACACCTGGAGCGGTTGGTCAGGTCTGGTGCCAAAGTATTGAAAGACAAACGTTTTATGCTTTTCAAAACAGGTCAGAGTACAAAAGGGCTTGGCCCACATCCAGCGAGTTCAAGTGTTCATCCGCAGTCAGCGACCTTCTCCTGTGAACTGCCTCCGCAAAACAGCAACAAAAACCACGATCAGGTCAGGATTACACAAACGCACAGCAACACATCAGCATCCTTTAACTTTGGGCTCGACTCACAATGACTTCTTTATCATTCTGGACTGCATGCATCAACTCAACCACAAATGAACAACGTTGCTTTTTAAATCTTTAGAAATAATAAGGCACCGAGCTACAGTGAGCGGTCTCTAACCTGAGATTTAAATTTGCGTTCATTTCTCCCTGAGCGACACCTACTGATTTATGACGCACACAGGATACTTCACACAGATAAGAAGAACAATACCGCTGCACGTACTGGATCATGCTTTTATTCGACTGTGGTCACTGTCAGATAAACGTTAGCCATATGGAAAAGAAATAGTAAAAACTTACATGATTTACTCATCAAAGTGGCCACTTTCTCATTACTTTCATATATTTTTTTAGTAAGTATACAAAACATACAAGTTTCATTATATAATTTTTCAAGGGATCTTATATCTGTTTTCAGTCTTGTGTGCTTTTCATACAAGTTTCATACAAGACAGATACAAACTTTATAAGATTTATATAAATCTTTTCCATATGGGTAGCCATGCTTCAGATAGTTCATCTTTCAGACGTTCAGTAAACACTGCAGCAGGTTTTAACCACTTTTCTAAAACGACAGTTGTCAGAAACAGATTTGTCTGCTTACTAATATCACACTTTTCCTCAGGAAATAAAAATGTTAACACAGGTCTGAGGCCACGAAGGCTAAAAATTACAGGTTTTTATTTTTCTCTGGAAAGTGAATCACATCACGGATCCGAGGAAACGCTGAGTTACTCACTCGACCGCTGCTGACTCTCCCGTCTAAGCATTTAATCCGTATCTGTGAGAAATGTTCAATCATTTAAAAAGTTATTAAGACTTTAGAAAACCTGTTTAACTGTTACGCTGGTTGATTGGATTCATATGATTTTCTTTAAATCTAAACTGACTTTAATATTTTGAAACTACTTTGTGTACATGTGCCCTGGAAAGTCTTATCACTTTGAATCCAAGCATTGAACAGAAGCGCACGGACTGCAGCAACTTGAAAACAGGAAGCCTCAGACTCCCATAGGTTGCTGCATCAACACTGCAGTCTTGGAGGTACAAAAATGCATTGTGTTGGTACGAAGCAAGTGAATCCCAACCTACAGCACAGTCCGGACAGGTTCTTTCCTGAGTTTCTTCTGGGAAAACTCCAGAAATTCCCCTCGTTTCAGGTGCCAAGCTAACTCGGAATGAGTTAAAACAGATGCTTTCTGTTTGTGCAGAGACG